AATTTTGTTATTTTTTAATATTCTCAATTATGTTTATGAAATCCAATCTTGGGTAATTTTGTAATTTTATAGTTCCTACCTGAGTGGTTAATAACTGTTCATTATATATATGCAAAATTATAGTGGAAAGTAGCTTTTCGATGTAATTCACATAATGCTTATTTAAGATGATTAGATGTTTGTTAGGAATGGATAAATAATGATCTAAATCCTTTTAGGGTTAGAATACTTATTGATGATTAATATATCTTTTCAATACTTTATTCTATCTAATACTATTAATATCAATTGAAAATAATAAACAATATGTTAAGAAAATAGTAATTTTAAAAATCATTCAATCCCAATGTTTTAACTTTGTTATCAATATTTTTGTAATTTTTGAAATTTATCTTTTTTCTTATCTTTGTTCTTAAATGTATCATTATCTTTATTAAAACTGAAAATCTAAAATATACTAAACTATTAGTAATCATTATTTGGACTAAACCTGTTTACTCTGTTTATATTATAAATTTAATAATATATACGTCTATAAATATTAATTTATAAACGTTGTTTCTAACATCTCAATATTATCCAAAATATTTAAAGAGTAACAAAAAATACATGTTATGCAAAAAAGTTATAAGAAAATGATTAAAATTATAATTGCAATGTTTTTAATGAATATTCAAATTCACTTCTTTTGCTTTAAGTCTTCTAAAAAGCAACTTCCTTTGGATTTGAACAATGGTTTTAAATCTATTCCTTAATAATTCATGAATTGTCCTTGTAAGATAAGTGTTCCTGATGCTTGAAACAAAGGATTCTAACAGATTCTAAGTATTGTACAATAAGGATTAACTAAATAATAATTAATAATAAATACCATTTGGCAATAAGGAGCTATTCTGAAGAGGTATGTTGAACTAGGAAAGCAAATCTTTATAGCTACTATCTGATTGGAGTATTTCCTTTGATGTTTTTACATTCCAAAGACGAATAGAGTTATCATCACTACCAGAAGCTAATGTATTTCCATCAGGTGAGAAATTGACAGGAGAAACTCCTACCGAATGACCATCTAATTTGGCTTTTTATTATCCTGTCTTAACATCCCATAAACGGATAGACTACATCTAATTATAAATAACTACTAGCCAGCATTTGTTGCTCGACGATAGAATAATATCACTCATTGAATCGAACAAATTTGAAATAAAAAGAAAATTAAGCAAGTAAAAATCAATATCTTTCAAAAAACTAATTGCAACCCACTATGAAATCTATTATCAAAACTGCAATAAAAACAAATTCCCTTCATATCCGGATTGCCTGAAAGCAATTTGAGATAAATTCATTTGGGATTTAGTTAATAGAAAGATATGAATTTAGAGTATATAAATAATACATGAATCAATAAATATAAAAAAAGATAAGTTCTTTTCAGAATATTTTTAGATATACTCAAAAGCATTCCTAGCAAACAGTAACATTCGTTATCAGTATTGTAGGGTTTTACATCTACATAATCGATTCACTTGTAGTACATTTGAATCCATTCTTAAATTGTGTACCATTAGCTGCGACAGAAATTTTATGTCGATAATTTAACAGGATTGGGCAGGTTTGTGTTTATTGATCTTATCAGCTGTTCTTGAATATTCTTGCGATTTATGAAGAACTGTCTATGCTGTCACAGCTGATGCATGTAGCCTTATATATAATGCAAGAAACTGCGACTGCAACCTTATTGTTCAGTCTCTTACTTTTTAATAGAATAAATATTGTCAGCCCTAATATAATTGGGAGGATCTAAAAAAGGAGGCATATAGTGTGTTCTATGTTGCACAACAACTGGTTATCAAACCAACTGTTGCTTACTGTATTTAGAACCTCACAAAAATTGATGGTAGGGATTAATTGTTATTATTCCAAATCATTTTAAAATAGTTGTACTGATAGTCTCTCAAGCACTAGAGGTCATTTGCCTATCATCCTTATGCATTTGTTAGTGATGGCTATTTTTTAAGAATAGTCCTACTGTGATGTGCATTTCTTCAAATATGTCTGAACAAACACATCTTTATTCAAATCTCATATGACGAGTGCTTGAAATTTAGTTTATACCTGGTATGATTTGTGCTATTATTTTTGATACTTGGAAAACATGTTAATAACACTTTGCGATCATCAACCTAAAAATAATGTGATGCAATTTAAAAACTATTTTATTGCTCTACTTATGACCACTCTTCTGCATGTCGTGACGCGAACATCCTTTAAGGCTATAAAAGCTAACTTTTGGTAAGGCTTTTGGTGTTTAACTAAGATGGATTTAGTGCACTAGTAACTCAATATCTTCCTATCCTTGTTGCACATGAGTATATTCTCATTCTTCTTGTTTCTTAAATTTCATTAGTTGATAATTGCAAACTTCTCAGACAGCTGTCCATTTGGCCTGTTTAAACTTAACTTATTGAAAAAATAATGTAATTATGGACTTGATAAAAAGAAAACAAGTAAAGTTGTATACTTAAGGGTATTATATGCACTTAGAACAGTCTGATATCTCCATCTTCAAATTGAATCTATCCTTCAAAAGTGTACTGAAAATACTAAAAATTTAAAATTAACAAAATTCTATTTAATAAAGGTTTAGAGTAACCATTTTTTATTTAATTCTATCACTCTAATAAATCTTCCTTTTCAAACTGCTTAGATGGTAAATACATAATTCACATATTTTAACTCATGTTCCTATGATATTGATTGTCGTTAGTACCTCTGCTAGATCTGTAGAAATCTTATTTTTTGTTACTCCAAACTCTATAAAATCTATGCCTATTCCTGATTCATTGATATAAATTAATTTAATTTGTTGCAAAATTGTTCAAGCAAGCAAATGTCATTTGCATTAGTTTATACTAGAAGTTGCTGTAAAATTAATTTTTGATTCTATCTTATAAATAAAGCCTTGAGATTTCACAATTGATTTAAAGATCTGCTTTGAAATGATTTTCCTGCTTAATTGATACACTGCGAAAATCCTCGTATATTCTACATTATCAGATTGGATTTGCTGTCATCTTACTTGATTTACTAAATTTAAAACAGCGTGTTTAAATACTTATTAGTTTATATCTATAAGTTATACATAATTTAATTCACTGAGTGTACTGAGAATACTATGAAAAGGATGCTTTTTAATCCAGCAAAAAGTGCATTTATTGGGAGGATGTGTTAAAGTTTTTCATACTATTTTGAGATATTTACAATCAGTTTATTATTGATAATACTTTTCATGAAGAGGGAACCAGTATATGTTGGCGCAAGTTAAAGTAGTTTTTCTGCATATAATGTAATTTTAACCGTAATGATTGAGCAACAGCAAGTTTATCACGTTGTTATCAGATATGAATTATCCTCTCTGGTCTATGTACTTAAACTAGAATTGACTTGTTATATGAAGAATTTGGCAAATTGCCTAAGAATTTTAGAAGTTTTGAGACTTAACTAGATGTTTGCTCAAGAAAAATACTCATCAAAGCAAGTTAGTTGTTCTTATAATTGATCTGCAAATTAAGACATTGAGAATAAAGGCAAAAATTTGTTCTTATTGATTTTGAGCAAGATTTTTTTGAAGCCATCATTATTTCAGCTGTTAGAGACAGAAATCAGCTGCTCTATTCCTAAATATGGTGAATTGATTAAAGACTAAACAAAGGAAGAATACGAAGTGCAAATTGTACCAATTTTTATACATCCTTTACACTTCTCTATAGAAATCGTATGTAGGCTCTAAAATATTGACTCCATTTCTTTCATCCAAAAAGTATTTATTAATTCACCCCATCTCAAATTAGTAAAGTAACATACAGATCTTCATTTGGAATTAGTGTTATTAATTAAGGATTAATTATACATTTCATAAGGTTGTTTCGTCCAGCCTTCTGTGAAGAGGGTTTCTCATTAAGATTTTATTTACAAGGATTGAAATAAATTGGTAAAACAGTTGATTTTAAATGAGTTTTGGTTTGTTAATTCTTCAGTCTCCTTAGCAATAATATAAAAAGCACTTAATCCGAACAAAAGATTAGCTTCAATATACAATTCTTACACTATGTAACTATAATATTATAGTACTAAATTGACAATTGAGAAGTTGGCACAACATGTTACAACATTTTGGATATCTCATACTAACATGGATAAATTTGTAGTAATTATCATTACATAGAGAAGCAAACCTAGCATTTAAAATAGAACAAGAACTATACTTTAAATTTTACAATATAAATATAATATGCATTAATATCTGAAACAGTCCCTAATAAATTATACTCAAGTTGTATTAATTAATACATAATTTGTAAAGATCCCAAAAATCAGAGTTTAAATTTATGGCTATAAAATGAAGGTATTGACATTTTAATTTTGAAATCTTATATCTTGTGACAAGGTGTTTTGATAATTTGTTTGTATTTTATTCTAGATTCATAAGTTTCTTTGTTTAGTTATTATGATAAATTATTATCAGCTCTTCATAATTAATTAATATGGGATTGTTTGAGATAAAATTCACAAGGTACTTTTGGGTTCATAGTTTAAAACTCTATTCTTATAGAAATGATTAGAAGACATCCGTCAATGGGATGTTAACACAGGATAAAATTAGATGGTCATTCTGGGACAGTTTAATCAATTTGTTACCCTCCTGATGGTTCTACATAAGCATCTGGCAGTAGGGGATAACTCAATTCGTCTATGGAATGTAATGGCAC